TCAGTCTCGGCACAACATGTTAAACAGCAACCATCAAATTTAGATCATCACCTCATACTGTGTATGATTGCTGAATCGTGTCTATATCGAGACCCTTGAGTCGCACCACTGATTCAACGTGACCCTTAAGTGTGTGCAACTCTCGTAACCTGCGACAATAAACCAAAATCCATCAGGGAGACAAAATTTCAAGAATAAAGAAAGATAAACAATAAAATGTCTATCATCTGCCATTAACCAGAAATATCATGATAATATTAACTGGAATTTCAAATCCAATGAAGCTAAGCACTAATTATATTTATGGCTAAACATCTATACCGTGCAATCTCAGCTCTCCTTTTGGCTTCCTCGGCCAACTGATTGAGCTCGGAGAAATTGTTGGTTTCGTTGAATAATTTGGAATCAGGCACTTGCAGCCCGTGAAGGGTTCTTTGTGCGTGTGCCCACTTAAGCTCACGCTGTTCTTTTCCAAAATCCTTCTTCCTGGTGAAAGCAATCTGCAATAAAGAAAACCCACGAAAGAGATAAGGGCACAAGGCATTGACAAGCAAAGATTTCATATTCCAAATTATCAAGTAGGATACGTACCCTTTGCTCCAGAACAAGATCCCAGGCCCTTCCACTAAGAGCATAACGGGTGAAAAATTTTATAAAGTCGAGCGGGATATAGAAAATGATATTATAAAGCCAGATTACTCCAGCCCATCCCCAACCAATTCCTTCAATTGCCGCAAAGCTCCAATTCGCATAAACCGCAATCAAAGTTGCAACCTGATTGCAATTAAGTACCGAAGATTAAGCCCCCATTTGACCCCCATTAAATTTCATTACATTACATTTCATTTTTCTCTCTTCTATTTTCAACCATATAATCTTCCATAAAATAATATTATACGTAAATCGAAAAATTTTCCTTCTTTTTCAACCACTCATTTTTCAAAAAAACACTATTCCACCCATTTTCATTTTACAAAAATGGGGGCCAAACGGGTGCTAAGTTTAACTCAGAGTCGAAAGAATTATGTATAAAAATAACAGGACAAGATCCCATACCAGTTGAGCAATCACAAATGCCGCTACAAGCAACAAACCAGGTCGCTCGACAAATGACCAACTTCTAGATCTGGTAACAAATATCAGTGCTTGACTGATGGTACTCACTTGAAGATATATTGCTGAAGCAAGCTTCCGGAAGTCGTCATGAGCAGTTTTCTCAAGAGTCGACACTCCAAATACTCGCTGAAAATTCATCAGAAAAGTGTGAAAAAATAAGATCTGTTTTCAATCAAAACATTAGAATACATTTTAGATGACAAAATTGGCTTACCGGAAAGAAATTTGTTTTATACGCTACCCAAAAAAATATGACTGTCATCATTGCCAAGTATCCACCAAGAATAATTCCAGTTGCGAAAATCTCAGCAAGCTTCCAGCTGTCTGGCAGAGGAGATGGTTTCACTCTATCCTTTGATATGGTCATAATGGTACCTAAAATCACAAGATTTGATAGTTACATGCAAAGAAAAGCAACAAGTTCAACCACACACAATGCTTGCTAATGAACGACGATTCGAAGAGGGAGGGAGGGAGGGAGGGGGAGG